GTGGAGCATCTAGCATCCTTGCTGAAAACTCTGGTCTTGGACCCATGTGAGGTACTGAACTCATGTAAACCTGGCAGTAATATGAAAGCTTGAAGGGATCTGAAAATGTGTGAACCATTTATTTTTCTACATTATCAGCCCCACATTTCTCCACCCTCCGGTTGGGGACTCTGTGATGGCCTGCTGTCTTTGTTCCTAGATGCACTTAATGAGGTCAGACTGCAGATGAAGTTTGGTTAAACATGTATTAGTACAGATATTAGCAACGTATCTGTACTAAATGTCTGTGCTTTCTTGTTTAAACAGCATGAGAATGGCCCTTTGCCCTCGGGTTTAAATGAAGTTTTCTTTCTGAATCTGTGGAAAAAGATCGGTGCTTCCCTAAGAAGTGCAACATCAGACTCTGACTTCTGTTCAGCAAATGGTAATTGTACTCATCCTGTGAAACCCACGATGTCTGAAAACACTTCTAATGAAAAAGCAAACCTTGCTTCTTTGTGTGTGTCTGTTACAGGACTGTATTTCTTTCTCTCTGCTTTACTGTTTGCCTTCTGCAAGGATGCATATTCGTGCATTCCTCTGTTTTGTGATGTTGGATCAGAATGTGTGTACGCTCTTGGCCGCCTGCTGGGCACCGAGTGGTTAGTGTTGAGATGTCTTAATTAAACGAAATAATTTGTATTACAAGCCAGCTACAATGCCTGGAGCTAACAATAGCATCTTTTATACCCTACAGTCTTCATTTGTTTGCCAAGGGCAATCCTGGGAGGCCCACGGTGGATCTGAGTCACAACACTTTATCCACACTGAGCTGCCACTTGTTATGTTTTCCATTCGCCCTGGACCTGCCTCCACGCACCATGTCCACAGTTCTCCAGTTGTACGACAGCTGTGGTATTGTTACAAGCCTCCTGCAGGTTAGGGCCTTATTTTGCTCCAATAAAGACCTCGCCGACAAACATAATTCTCTGATGCAACACAGGATAACTCTTGCACTAGTTTTGTGTCTGGCATGCAGTACTGTACACCTGGATGTGTCTGTACTTTTTTAAGAGCACTGTGTTGTTGTTTGTTGTTGCCTGTTTGATGTATGACGAGTTGTCTGTGTGATTTTATTTTTTATTATTATTTTTTTTTGTGCTTTGGCAGGTAATTCAAACCCTTCCTCTTCATCTACTGGAGCTGCCTCTCTCCCTTCTGAGCCGCTTGCTCCTGTGTGATCCCCCCCGCTCAATTGACCACCTCACAAAAGCAGCTTCTTGCTTTTTCTTGCCATCCTGGGACGATCAGCTCCCTGCCTCCAGCCGTCAGAGTCCTCCAACCAGAACTGCCTGCTCTCTGCTCCCCGAACTCCTGCAGCTGGAAATTCTGTGGGAAGCTGCTGTGGAGCTCCTCACTCTATTGTCTGGGATAGCCCGTTGTCCCTCCTGCCCACTGCAACTTTATGTAGAAACCTCAGTGCTGCAGCATGCACTGGCTCACTCGTATGAGCAGATCAGGGTTGCCACGTGTAGATTTTTAGGAAATTTGGATCCATTCAGGCCTCTCACACAACACACCCTAAAACCTGACATTTTCAAAGCCATGATAAACTGCCTTAATGATTCCTGCATGCCTGTCCGGCAGGTTGCTTGCCGGTCAGTTGGGAACTGGTTGGGCTATATTGCAGCTGGGCTGCATATGGACAGACCCAGTGAAAAGGGGATACATATAGGGAGATGGTGCATAGAAAAGCAACAAAATAAACAGACGTACTCAGATATTGAGGCAGCAAGTGATTTGGAAACATTAAGAGAGCAGAGAATGGAGGAGGAAGAAAGAAGGTGGACACATGAAGCCAGGAGGACAGTGGCCATGCTGGTAACTCTAATCTATGATCCTGATGCCCTCACACGTCGTCACTGCTGCGCCGCCCTGGGAAACCTGCTAAATGTTGATGGAGCCATATCCTTGTTGCTGGAGGAAAATGTGCCCGGCTTACTTCTAAGAACTGCATGCACAGATTACCACAGTGCAGTGAGAGAAGCTGCCATAGGATCTTTATACCTGTACAGCCAGCAGGATGCCATGCGTCAGGTAACGAGCTGGTCACAGCATCGCACATGCTCACATTACAATAAAACAATCTCTGTTTGGAGAATTTGATGCTTTTGAAATAGTTAATTTTTACTTTTTAATTAGAAAAGCAGAAAACAGTTCACACCTGCTGGTATTGAATATAAAGCTGTGCTCTTACGCCCAGAGCTTGTTCTGTCCTTTAGATAAATTTTGTTCACTGTCTAATCTTTCACAAGTCAGTAACACACTTTGAAACACACATTTATTGATTTATTTAGATTATTGCTCTTCTTTTGCATTCATTCAAAGGTCCTGATGTCTCTTGATGCCAGTAAGAAGCTTGTTCAGGCTTCACAACATGCTCCTCCACAGTGTGACTATCAGCGGCTCATTGGACAGCTGACTGCACCAGAAAAGTCAGCAGCTTAAAAACCTGCTCCCTGTTTAACTTTACAGCAACATATTTGTCTGAAGCCATGTGTTAGTGAACGACCGAGTCCCCGTTTATGAATCAAAATAAAACTGTTTTACTGTTTAACGTCTCAGTTTGTGACAGCAAGCTGTTCTAATTTCACGAGAAAAAGGAAACGATGTAACTTCGTAAAAATCACGGTAGGTTTTCTTTTTCATCGATAAAATTGTCATAACAATAATTCAGTCTGTATAAAAGTGGCGAATGAGGAGTTTCATTCATTTCTAAGTTATGAGTATTTCTGCTGGCACCGCAGCGTGCTGTCGATTTTTGGAAAGCTTTTGTTTAGGTGTAGCGAATATTATTGATGGATTTTAAAGGCGACATTTTTCCATATGCAGATCAATATGTGAATTTAGAGGCATTCGCATTTCAAAGCCCTTCGAGGTCTTTTAGAAGTCTGTGAATTTGGGCTAAATAAAGTAGAAAACAACGAAGCCGAATTTCCGAGGACTGGACGTCGAAAGCGTTTTTATGTGGTTTTATGTTAAATGTTGTATCGACTAAACAAGAAGAGATCGATACCCATGAAAGTTTTCAGTCCTCTCTGTATAACCGTCTGTCAGCTGTCTGCTCAGCGGAGCAGGGTGAGAAAAGAAGCGCTTGTCAGTGTCTGTCGGGCCCTGACCGGGCTTTACTTTGATTTCCCTTAAAAAATAAAAATAAAATGAAAACCCCGCGGATTTATTAAATCCAAAAACCAAGGACTTATTTTCACGCTCAGGCCGCAGATTGTACTTCGGATAACGCAGACAAAAAATAAAAATAAATCCCAGTAAAAGCACCAAAAAGAAAAAGCACAGCGGGCCAAGTTGATGATACACTTTATTTTTTTTTAAAGCAAAAAGATTGACATCAGACGAAGTTAATTTGTATCTATGATAAAATTACGTTAAAAACACAACGCGCTAAATGTGCTGTTAGTACACACTTTTGGTTTAACCATCGGGATTGATAGTGCACCGCAGGGGGCTAAAAAAAGAAAAGAAGCACCAATTAAACCCCATAAATAATTACGATAGTTTCGCTGTTATATTCAAGATTGTCTTAAAATAAATATGCATAGAAAAAAAACTATCCTTGGTATAAGCATGGAGCAAATGACAGTAACAATGATTATTTGCTTATATGAAAAAAAGAATTGAGACCTCTTACACCAAAGCTAAAGCTGCGAAAGCTTTAAGAAACAACAAAATTAGGAATTTTTTTCCCAATAATTTTATAGAAAGAAAAGGTTAACACACTCCACTCCCTGAACATACAAAAGTTGTTACAAATTAGTGCAGATCAGCCAGAGGCCTATAAAACTTATTGCTTTAACAAGCAGTTTAGAGAGAGAATTATTTCTGAAACCCTAAATTTTCTATTCCAGAGAGTACATTTATGCAAAGGCATGCAGAGGAAGGCTGTTAGAATGATACTAGTTACAATATTTGTACACATTTGGAAATAAAGAAAAAAACAACAGTTTTATATGAGAAAACCCTGCAAGCTTCAAGTCTGTAATCTCCTCCCATGATTATCTACTGATGTTTGTAGAACTGGCGGATTAACATGTATCCTGAGCTGCAAAACAGATTGTACATTTTGCAAAATGCGAGGGAAGAATATCTTACTGCCACCACATGATAAAATGTTACACATTTAAAAATAATATGAAAAAAAAAACAGTTTTGGTCACAGAATGCATAATGCAGACATTATTTGAAGCCATTGCTAAAAGAAAGATAGCAAAGGTTATATTTGTTACATTTAAAGGGATGAAAATTAAACAAATGTAAATACAGAAGACAAAGTAATGTTTCCAACAAAGCTGGCTAAAATACTCTAAACATACAAATAAAATAATTCTGTTATTGACTGAAATAAACTGGAAGCAAATCAAATGTTTTACAGAAAAACAAACAACAAAATACACAATAAAGTTTCACGACTCTTTTGTACGTTAGCCGCTCTTTCTGCAATTATAAAAGTCAAAGGATATTCAAGGTCAGTTCTAATAATTTTAGTATTAATGCCAATTACAGTTTTTGCTGTTGCATAAACGCAGTTGATTTGAAATATTTGTCCACACTGAAATGTCAATGTGATACAGCGACTGAGCATGAAAATAATTAAAAAAGAAAGAAAAAAACCCTCAAACAAACATGAGTTTCTATTGCTGACATCAATTTTAACGTAAGGCTATTACAAATATAAAACCTGCATAATGAGTTACATTACTTCTGAAATTACCTTATTTCAATAGTAGATTCACGAAGTGCGAGAGCTATTGAAAATGATTGTCATCTTAAAGCATTGCTATGCCACAGTGCCGGCTCAAGTGATTCGAGTACGAAAGCGATGGAAGAATTGGATAGTGTTGATTTAAAATGTAAAAAATATTTTATATTAGCAAAGCATGCTTTTAACCCCTCGCTACAGAAAAATTTTTTTTTAAATTTTTTTAAAAAAAATTAACATTTGATTCAGGACAAACTTAAAGACAGAAAGAGCTGCTGATTCTCCCTGTTACGCTCTCTCTAAGTGTACTCGCAGAAGCTTGGTGTTACGCTGTTGTGTCCTGCTTAAGCCTTTGGCTACGGGCCTTGTAAACTTCAATCAGCAGGTCTTTAACGTACTGGATTTCACGTTCTACGGACTCTGCTTTGTCCCGGAGCTCCCGGTTCCTCCCTTCAAGGCAGTGCAGTTGTTCCTCCAAAGAATCGAGCTCCGCCCTTTTTCGCTGGCGATACCTGCATCGACCAAAAACGAAGACTCTGTGAAAATGTAAACTCGTGAAACTTTGATAACATTGACATTTCATCGAGAAGAATCTCACCTGTGAGCGGCAGTTTTGTTCTGATCTCTTTTCTTTTGTTTGCGCTCCCCGCCTTCGCCTGGAATGATGTCCACTTCGTATTTCATTGCACAGTGGTCTTCCTTCAGCCGACATGCTTGTCTGTGCCCCGAAGATTCCAGGTTCAAACTATCCCTAGCCATTAAAAGACACTCTGGGCCCTGATCCTCAAGGAAATTACAGTGTAGATCATGCTGAGCTATCTGTAGACTCTCTGTTTTCACCTGCTCGTTGATGTTGCCCAAGAAGCTATGGTAGGCCTCAGACTGTGCTGTTGTTGGAAGATAACAACCTTCGCTGCTGTCGGCTTTCCAAGAAACGGTGGCTTTTGTCACCTCCACACTAGTTTTGATACTGTTCAGCACATCACTGTTACCAGCACCTCCACTGACTTCCCTCATGCTATACATCAACAGATCCTCTTTCTTATGGGGGACCTCCAGTGATCCACCAAAGCCAAATCCACCACCAACAATCTTCCCACCACCTATCACATCTTGAGTGAAACAGCAATTTTTTTCTTCTTTTGGTATAACAGCACATCGTCTGAGCTCAACCGCACTACCCAAGCAGTAGCTTTTCCCTACCACCTGGTCGTCCTCTACACAGCCATAATTACCTGTAAGGGTCACAGCTGAGTTACCTGAGTTACTTCCTTTGGAACTCAGCAAACTGCTGTCATAGCCTTCGCTGAACCTCGAACCATCAGGAACTCTTTTCCTACCACACCCACTGGGTCGACTGCAGCTATATGGGGCGTGTCTTGGAATTTTGGAGCGCCCAATGGGCCCGCCACAGATGCTGAGCAAGTCCAGTTCTCCGGTTGCCAAGGTAACAAGAAGTGGGCTGGATTCCGATTGGTTGGATGTAGCGTATGATGCGTATGGCAGCTGAGTGAATGGCGGAGGACCCGCAGGCAGTGGACCCCTGTCGCATTTTCCCAGCCTCGGCCCTTTCTCGGGCAGTGGCTCAGACAGGAAGTAGTCCTCTAGTTGGGCGAGTTCCTCTTGCAGCAGAGAGGTCATGACCTCCAAGTCAGAGGGCACCTGGATATCATTCTGAAGGGGTGAAGGGGGAAGGGAGGCATTAGTAGAGGAGGGAGGGGAAGGAGGGTTTGGGAGGTACGAGGAGAAATCCACTTCTTCCGTCATCCAGTCAGTGTTACCATCACCTATTGAGGAGGGGGGAAAAATTGCATCGGTTACAAGATGTTTGTTGGAAGGAAATAATGCTGCTAAAAAAAATAAAAAATAAAAATAACGTTCATGCAAAAAAAAAAAAAAATCCATCAGTGCACGAAGCAGTTTCCCAAAATAACAATCAGATTTATAATAATAATAATAAAGGCAAATCAGATTGGGGGGTTTTGCCGATAAAGTTGCAGCTTTTTAATATAACAGACGTAGCTAGTTTATTACTTACTGCTCAAGAAGGACGAATGTGCTGCAGTGCCGAGCCCACCTGAAATGAGGAAAAATATAAAAAAGCGTACACGCTGCAACTCACCAATTAAGTGCTGACTCTCCTCTGACACCTCCCCCCTGCACCCCTGTGATTGGCTGTGGTTAGCCTGTGGGTGAGAGAGAGCGAGGGGGTCTGCCGGGCAGACACGAAGAGTCTTCCAAACAGGCGCTGATGTTGCCATCATTTTGTCTGTTGGTGCTTTGATTCAGTCCAAGTCCAAGCATATGCTGAGAGCAAGCAGGGTCTGAGAGATGGGCCACAGTGAGCAGGTCTGGGTGAGCATAATGAAACCTAGAGGGTAAGCAGAAAGAAAAAAAGGGGGATCAGATATATCTGAGAAAGATACGGCGTACTCAGTCGACTAATGGGGATCATCAGATGGGAGTCTGTCTGTGCTGCCCTCTGCAAGTTTCTCTGCATGGTTTTAATGAGAGGCAACAAAGAAAAAATCACTTTCTGGTCCTCACTTAATTCATTTTCACACAAATACACTTTTTCATCTTTTAAACAAAAAGGCTTTACAGTAAATACCAAATACTGAAAAGCAGAAAAGTACATTATTCCCAAAACCAAGCCTCAGATGTGACACAGTGGGTGATAGAAAAGTGGGAGCAGTGTCCTGTGGGCTTTAATCTGGCTCAAAGCAAAATTAACCTGACGTCCTCAAAACACGTGGGACCCAGTGACGCTGTCAAGGGCCCAACTGTTGACAAGAAGCACCACAAGAGCTACCTCTACTCTGTAGGTGAGCTGCCCTGCTGGTCAAAGAGGATTAATGCTGATGAGCTGCTTCCAATCGCATGTTCCTTTTAAAATTAATTACCAATTCTTTTTTTAATCACTTAAACAGATTGGACTCGATTACAGCAATGAGAGCTAAATTAAACATTGAAAGATTAAACGCTGGAAGTGACAGACGTGATGTATCTCCAGTTAGTGCACAGACTGAAGGCAATACATTTAGAGTAGAGGAAAAATCAATAAAAATCAAACTAAAACTGACCACAAAGCAACCACAATCAGTCAAACTCCATGAGTGATCGTAGTTTTAAAAAAAGAAGAAGAAAAAAGATGTTTGAATTTGTCAAAAAGGTTCATTTAAAGCGACGAAACCAAACAAGATGTAGCCACTTTACACCAATATGATAACAACAACAACAACAGCAACAACAAAACAGCTCTATGTGCAGCCAGTAGAGAGACTTTCACTTACTCCATTCTTGCAGAAAAAATTGTAGAGCACTTGGGGGTGCGTTGCTAAAGCAAAGCACGACGACTTTTCGGGTCCAACAACTTAGCAAAAGATTAAAGAGCCATATTTCAGCTCGCAATATCCTAGACAAGGCAAACAGAGAGAGGTGCTGCTTTGTTGTGGTCGACCTGTAAACTGAGGAGCCGCTTAATTGTGACAAAGCATCACTTCATTCACACCTAGCAACCGACTGCGTCACCGGGGTAAACCAGGCTCCTCCGCGCGTGCAGATCCCTCCGCCCCCTCCCTCCGCGGCTCACCCAAGGACGTCCCACACTCTCGCTGCCCACACTTTTATAAAAGTATTGAGCTACTTTTTTGTTGTTGTTTCTGTAAAAGTAACACAGCTGCTCATTCAGGTGAGTAATGCTATTATTTATAGTAATAAATATATAGATAATAAATATACTAATAAAAAAGAAAATACTAAATTCAAACTGTGCAATTCAAGATACAAGTAACAACTGGTTTAAAAAGGGAATCTGAAAAGTAGCCTTTTAGCTAGACATTGTGCTAGTTTTTAAGCTCTAAAGGGTATAACCTCGTCTTTAAATTAAATAACGAAGTGAGAGGATTTGGTTTACGCGAACGCGATCTTTCGAGAAAACTACAGCTCAGACACTGTACTTTACAATAAGGCGTGCCGCTGTTTTGTTTAAAGCGCTATATGGCTCATAACACACTTTGTTGTTTAGAAGAAGTCTGTTGCATCTCCGTTGCATCAGTGGTCCACGAACAGTACCATTGGCTGCACGGGCTCAGACTGCCGTTCTGTGATTGGCTCAAAACGGCTACTTCTGAAATATGATTGGTCGGTGGTAGGCAAGGCAAAGCACCACCGTGTTGTCATCTTTCTCTCTCCCTCTGTCTGCAGTGCAGACTGTGCACATGTTTCATGTCAACAAACCGGGCGTGGAGGTCGGTGCTGCAGTTTTTGAAAGCAGAGAATATCGTTGACACTTTGTGATACAGTTTAAACAAACTCAGACACTGATACAGCATTCAGCTTGTAATGACTGAATCTGGCCGATTATGTCGCGATAACTAATGAACATGCAGCATATATCATTTATTACATAATTTAAATTAGAAAGTACTTAGAATTACATAATTGCTAGTCACCGTTGTGGATGTAATGTCTCTGTTTTATTCGTTTATTTTAATTTAGCTTGCAACTACTCTAGTGTGATTATGTCTCATTTCACTTTTATTTTGTTGACTTGTTCATTTGTCTACCCAAAGCTTCCCAGGTGCAAAATTACACTAAGTCAGTGAATAATGGAAGATAAATTATTCATCCCTTGTGGTTGGCTGTCAGCCTAATACACTTTGCGAATCCTTATTTTTGTGACTAATTTGGTGAGACACAGCTGGTGGAACTAAATGAAGTTACTGGTAATGACTGTCAATTACATTTATGTTAGGAATAAAGCTTTGTTTTCCTCCTTTCAGCAAATCCCGAAGCTGAGCAAGTGTGCTGTTCTCCTGTTGCTATAGTAATAGCGGACACTGCCCCCTATTTTAGACTTGTTGTCTGGTTGCTGTTGCCATGGGATTTGCATCTCTCTCTTTTTCCCTTTCTCTCTCTCTCTCTCTCTCTCCCCCTACTGTTTTCCTTTTACCTCACATTTGTTTTGGCACTCCTAACAACCCAGCCATTCTCCATCCTATTTGCTGAGTTGCATTTCTGTTACTCTATCATTTTACCAAAACCAACAGGTTTATTTCCAGCTTTGCTGAATTAATAAATTGATTTGGCACTATGATTTAGCCTCTAATAGATTTGTCCACAGAGAAGCATGTCTGTGCATTGAGTGAACATCTGAAAGTCGAATCGATCGCACAGAATCACATTATCCAGGATGGCTCCAGGGGAAGTTGTTTTCACACCAAGTGAAACATGTTCTTTGAAAAAGACCAGATGAAATTGAATTTGAGTGAAATGTCCCAAGTCTAATATACGCTGTCCGTCTGTGTCGATCTGATGCCTTTAAAAGGATGGCCCTGTTACAGCGGCGCTATTCAGCAAAACGCCCACCATGTGGTTGTTACCATAGGAGTGGAGCTCTGAGAGATTTGTAGAAAGGCAGCCTGATGCAATAGAGATAAATGTGGTCGTAATGGAGACCAGATTGAGATACTAGTAGCTGGTGAAGTTGGCAGGTCTCCCGGGAAAATCGCTGACTGCTCTCTCTGTCTGTATTAATTGGTCCACTGAGGGATTCCTGTTTGCGCATCATGAGAGAAATCTAAGGTGCTCCTTATGACAGCATGGCTGGATTTCCCTGCAGTCTCCACTATTAAGTACAGTTTCCTCTGTCATTATTTAGGAAGACATGTAAAATGTGTTATTTGCGCAGCAAAACACCTTCATGTCTCCCCCTCCTTCCTCTGGAAAATCTTAACAACCTCAGTATCCATTTGCAAAAACTGGAATAGATAAACTTTCCGACTTGTTAAAACAACACAGGAAAACGAGCCAAAGTAAACAACTGTGGATCAAACTAGACTTCAGATACTCTTGAAATATTTATTGTCGGTTTTTCTATAGCGGGAGTTGGAAGTCCATCACTCGATACCCAAATTCATTGTCTGAATATTGTGGATGAGCAGAGAAGTCAGAAAAGTCAATGCTGCATGCCAAGTGCATGTATGGCACGTTAGTAAGGGTTACACCATCATTTCATCATCATCTCTCTCAGAATTTATTGTCCTCAACTTTTGCCCCTCTTTGAACATACGAAGAAAACATGGAATTCAGTTACGACTTGTGAATGGAAGCCTCTCAGAGGGGATTTGTGGACGTTTCTGTGTGTGTTCAGCCTGCTGATCACTTGAATTTGTTTTTCGGTTTGCCGTGAAAACATGTAATCAAGTCTCAGGAAAGTGACAAGCATAATATCATTTTTCATTCACGGATGTTTAAAGCAACTTCATTTGCATTCAGCTGTGACAGATAGGAACCAGTCAGTCATAGGGTTCTGTTTATTTGCTATTCCTCAAGGACTTCGTGGTATATTAGAGGTGTTTGATGTAAAGAACTCACTACAGCATCTGCTTTGTCTTCCTGTGGGATCTCACAGCTTTTAGTAGATCACTCATACCTAACTCCAACTTCTGAAAGTATGTTGAATGAAGCCGTGCGTGGCATACAGTGTAAGGTCTGTAAAAGAAAACAGTGCTACAATAACAGCAGGACAACAAAGAAAGTAAACGAATTGTTGCATATCACAGCTTTTTATTCATACTTATTGTCCGTGCATCACTTGTGTTCTCCAGAATTTCAGCTCTTTAAGCAAATGGGTCCCAAGTGGTTCCTCTGTGTCATTTACAGCACTCAGGCTGTGTGATGCTGCGCTGCAGAAACATTTAAAACCCCTGAGGCTCAGCGTCTGTCACCTATGAGTTTTACACAGCCGATAACCATCCAGGCCATATGCTTCGTGCTCATGAAAAAACTTAAACTGTTCACTCATCAGAGCTTAAGTTAACTCGTGCTGAACTTTGAATTCTAATTGTTAGTTTGGTAAGGCATGTTAACACTAGTTTACAATGTTATCTTCCATTGTTTGACTGTTTGTCATGGGGTCTCTGCTTTCTGCAAAGTCACTTTATTTAACAGTATATTTGCAAGCAAACAGTCCTTTACTTTGATGTGGAGCATAAGACAAAGTGTTAAGTGTTAAGCAACATAAAGACAAAAGAAATGCATCCACTCACTGACCACTTTATTAGATGCACTTTACTAGTTGGAACCCCCATTTTTTAAAATTCTTTGTTTCGATTCAACAAGGTGCTGCAAACATATTGACATGACAGCATCACACAGTTTAGCAGTTTTAAGGCTGCACAACCACGATGTTATTCTTCACGTCCCAAAGACGCTCTACTGAACTGAGATCTGGTGGCTGTGAAGGCCATTTGCGTACAGTGAACTCATTTTCATGTCCAAGAAACCAGTTTGAGGTTATTTGACATTTTTCATGATATTTTTTCCCCATTCAAAGCATCCATCAGAAGATGCGTATGCTGTGGTCCCAAAAGAATGGCTATGGTCAGCAGCAATACTCTAGTAAGCTGTCGAGTTTAACTCATGCTTACTTGGTACTAAGTTGTCCAAAGTGTGCTTTTACCTCATTACAACACTACAGGCAGCCTAAACTGTTGAAACAGGACATAATGGATCCATGCTAACACATTGTCTACACCAAATTATGACCCTACCCTCTAAATGTGGCAGCAGAAATGTCTGATTTTGTCAAAATCCAAATTGTAGCTTCAGTTTTCTGACTGACATCTGCTGCGGTCCCATTTGCTTCAAGGTTTGGCATGTTCATTCAGAGATATTCCTTTGCATATCTCAGTTGTAACAAGTGGTTATTTGAGTGATTCTTGTCTTTCTATTAGCTTGAAGCAGTTAGATTGTGCTCCTCTGCCTTCTTGCTTCAACCAGCCATTTTTACCCAGAGAACTGAGGCTCACTGCATGTTTTCTCATTTTCAGATGATTCTCTGTAAACCCTAGAGATGGTTAGAGAGATGTTGGAAAATTCCAGTAAATCAGCAGTTTCTGAAATGCTGATACCAGCCCATCAGGCATCAATAATCATACCACGGTCAAAGTCACCTAAATCACATTTTTTCCTCATTGTGATAGTCAGCTGGAACTTCAGCAGGTCGTCTCGGTCATGTCGACATGCCTAAATGCATTGATTTGCATGTAATTGGCTGGTTAAATATGTGGGTTAACATTTAGTTGAGCAAATGAACCTTTAAAGAAAAACAAGTGACCAGCGAGTTTAATTCTGCATCTAAAAATCGGAGCAGCAGCATATTTAATTTATGTCGTGTTCCAGGTATGTGTATATTTTCCTGTTGATGAAGAGTGATGTAATAGCTTGACTTTCTAAAAAGAATTTTTTTCATACCTGCAATAGCACTAAAGAGCCTGTTTTAAGGTAGTGAAAATACTACTAGAGGTGCAGAACATTTCAAATTAAATTGAATTATTCTTGAAACACCGCTACATTGTATCCAACTTAAACCTGTCAGCTGACCTTAATACGGGAAGTCATGTCACGCAAAGTTTAACTTATTCAGTTTTTCTTACTCACTGCTTAATGGTCATTTTCATCAGTAATATTTCTAAACATTGTTAAAAGTGGTTATGATGCTGATATTTTTTGGCATAATTTAACCGTAACTGTTACAACATGACCAGTTTTTATGGTTTCTTCATTCTGTTTCTACAGTTTCTTCAGTTTTTATTATTTTTTTCTGCTTTTCTTCATACGATTCTTTCACATCATTATATATCACTTCCTTCTCTTTTTTTTTTCACCTTATGCATGTCTTTATTCCTTTATTGTACTTTGTCACATTTGCCTTCTAACTCCTGATTTTTCCTCAGCATTTCATGAAGTGCACGCTTTTTATGTGTTTCCATCATCACTTCTCTTTATGCATGTCACCATTTCTCAGAACCTAAACTGTATATCGGTCCATATTTTCTCCAGGTGTTCCTTCTCCTCCTCTGTTTCAGTGTTTTTGTCTTTTGCTTTGTTATAAAATACTCACAGTTCTGTATTTTTCCTCTCGGAGTCTTGGAGAATACGCTGCATTTCTCTCTGTGTTTCTTCCTGTTGTTCCCTCTCTTTCTTTTTTCTGCATTTCAGTGTTACTTTGTAGTGCTTCATCAAACATTACTTGCAACCCTTCTTCTTTTTTTCCCCATGTCTTGGAGCTTACACTGCAGTATTCAGTGTATTTCCTCCTGTTGTTCCTTCTCTTTGTGCATTTCTGTATTCTTTGCAGTGCATTTTTTCAAGCTCCCTCTCTCACCCGCTCCCTTTTTACTGTCTGAGTGTGTCGATTCACTTTTCCCGTTGAGCTTGGCTGGCACACCTGTTTTCAATCAGGAGTTACCTGTGCATAAAAGAACCAGCTCTTCATCAACTCATCACCAGCTTGTTACAGCATTCAGTACAATAGCAAGTCTAGCTCTCAAATAGTCTTGTTGACTATTTTCTCCATCTGCTTTGGATCCCCTCTGGTATTCTCGTCTGCATTCCCTTGTTCAAGGGAACAAACTTGAAAAGAAAACCTGTCTGCAAGAAAACTCACTTGTGGACACTCGCCTACCTGCCCACTCAAACCTCTTATGTAATAAAACTAGTGAGGCTGGTACCTCTCTGAATGCTTGCTTATGGGTCCAAAAACCTTACCAGTTATGACAGTTATGATAAACGGAACCAAAATCTGTGTCCGTTATGGTGGGAGACGTGTAATGTCTGTTAAATAGGGAAATTCTGATTGAAAGTTGTGGCCACTGTTTTAAAGGAGGGAATGTGGATGGGACTAGATGACCTTCAGCAAATATTTCCTTTAGGGCCTCTGTGGTGTCTCCGAAGTGCAGACACATGACTCATCAGACTAGGGAAGTTTTTTTTTGTTGTTTTTTTACTTCTATTGTCCAATTTTGATGAGCCTGTGTGAACTAAAGCTTCACTTTCCAGTTCTTAGCTGACAGAAGTGGCACATAGCGTGGTCTTCTGCTGCTAAAACCCATCTGCCTAATTAGTGGTTATTTAAGATACCGTTGCCTAGGGCTGTTCGATATAACGATATATATCGGATGACGACATAAAGACGTCTATCGTTTCATTTTACGCTATCGTTTGTTTCGTGGTGTCGCTAAATAAACTGTTTACGGCAATATTTTTTCATCGTTTTGATGGTCACTGTAGTGGCTATATTAATTTCTTAAAGTTCTCTCTTTCTCTTATATTTAATATAACCACACTACGGACGGACAAGTGCCTGTTTTTATGCGTTGTCGTTAGCAACAAGACGGTCACACCATCGCGTGTCCGCTTGTTTATGTTCCACACAAACCTTTCACAATAAAGCTCAAGATCCTGTTGAGACTTTTCAAAATAACTTGAATCACGTGAAAGAGCAGATTATTTACGGATGAGAAGTAAAAAAAAGAGCCGCCAGGTGCTAAAAAATAAACCTTAGACTTAAACGTTAGAACAGGCTTTTCCCCGCAGCACGCCGTGTAATAAATACTCACTCAATACTCAATACTCAAAATGTATCGTTTCATGCATCGGTTAAAACACTCGACTCCAGCTACATGACGCGCAGCTGGAAACACTTCACGCAAGTCGAGCTGCCCGAGATTCACAGAATTTACAGAAAATGTTACATTTTTGTGATTTATATCGTTATCGGGACGATGGAATTCTTATATCGGGATATGAGATTTTGGTCATATCGCACAGCCCTACCGTTGCCTTCCTTTCAGATTGAAGCAACCTGGCTATTTTCCTCTGACATCACCTTTCTTCCTCATTCTGATGCTCACTTTAAACTTAAAGCTCTCATGACCATGTCTAAAAGTTTTAATGGATTTAGATGTTGCCATGTGATTGGTTCATCAGATATGTGGGTTAGCAAGCAATTGAAAAGGGTTACCTATGGGTGAATATACAGTTTCTTTTATATCTCAGATTATCAAAAAATCAATGCACATGTAAAGTGTGATTTTATTTAGTTATCAGAACACAAAGAATTATTACCCCACAGTGGGGGTGCCGTTGTGATGTGTCTCTGTTTTTGTTGTCCTCATTAGGTCAACATTGGCGCTTTTCCCCTCTGGATATTTTTTACACATTGTGCTGTGTGTGCTGTGAAATCTGGAGAGAGAGAAAAAAACAACAACAATGTAATCGAATGCTTTGTATCTATTGTGTAGCCTGTTTTTGAATTAATAACTGTCGGTTTACATCCCCTTCAAAGAAAGCGAAGATGATTTGTTCAAAGCAGTAAACACTGTGAGTGCAACTTTCGCCAGTGTATCAGATGCATTTAGTGAAGGATGCTTTCATGTGTGATGTCTGAGCCTGCGTGTGTGCAGAGGGGGGAGTGTGTTAGGGGTTGGGCAGGAGATTTTTCGCTTTAATCTCCTAAATTAATCCGAACTCACATGTGGATATGAAAACTTATAAATTACAAATGCCTGCGCTGAAGTGTTGTGAAGGATGTGAGAGCGGAGATCTTTGACAGGAGATGCTAAAAAACCTTCCCCCTGAGCTGACAGATGTTTTCATTTCGTCAGATATTTTCGGTTGTCTTGAGACGAGGCTAATATCTCCTATTAATATTGACAAAATCGTGTAAGACCTTTGCTAATTCACAGCGTCGACGCTCTCATTTGTGTGATAAAGGCCTTGGGAAAAAGACCAGTGTGAGCGGGAGAGTGTGGGGAAATCACCCCCTGGTTCATTAATATTTCACCAACAATAAGGCTGGGTGTCACTCTTGCTCGTCACCACGGTAATGAGCGAGCGCTGCCCTCTTAAAGATCTGTTTATTATTCAGCTGGGCACAGCAGAGACTCAGAAGTACTGAATGGCACGATGTGTGAAAATCTCTCCCAAGGTCAGCCAAATGCAAATGGTGTGAATGATATTAGTGAAGCGGCAGAAGTTATTAGTAGGAATCATTGGCTGCATTAAACTGAGGGTGCTCATTTCAGTCGACATCGCTGCACACAACATGTTTTTCACTTCAGACCAAGAAATTAAGAATTAACATTTCAAGTGCTGAATCGAATCAGTACCTGTCAGCAGCAAGGTGTGTTTCCCTGATTACCTGCACATTTGCTGAATATCCCCCTGGTCCCTGGAGTCAATTAATCATACCGCCCTGTCACAGGTTAATAGTAATCTGCACTTGCACCTTTAGAAAATTTGAACACGAGAAGATCCGCTGTGTAGATGTGAGGAATTTTTACTCTTAAGCGCCCACTTTGTGGGAACTTCATGAACATGGTTTTACAGTACGTGATTTGAAATTTCTTAATATTGAATCATGCATGTAAAGTCGCATGTAATTTCCCTTCATGTTTTTTTTCCTTTTTTCATTTCCATGTCTCCCACCTAGTGCAAAGTGAGCGATATAATTAATTACGCTGCCCCAAAAATACAAACACAAAAAAGTGTTCAGTGTTTCTTTTGTACTTGATCAGAGTTAACGAGCCAATTTAACTCATTAAACCACCTGATTGTTCTCATGTAAATAGACCCGTTGTAACGTTTTAAAAATGAACACCTTTGTGAATGTAAGCAACAAATTGGGGCGTGCGGGTTTTTATTTATAGAAAGCTGGTAATTAACTTGTGTGGGAGACACGCTAATTAAGGAAGAAGTGCTAACTGAATGCATCCAGTTTAGGCAATTTGTCAGCAGCGTAGTGCTTTATGAGGCAGAAAGCAACAAAAGATACATCATATAGTTTTGTTTATTACACGTAGTTTTACAATCCTGTTATATAATTTATGATTCTTATTAAAATCATATTATTAGAATTTAACTTGACATAGGGTATTTATGTAAAATACAGACATATTAAAGCTGTGTTATTAGCCTAAATGAGAAGCTCCTGGAACAATACATAAAGTGGTATTAACACTTGTGTAACAAAAAAAGAACAAATCTTGCACAGCATTACAAGTATTTGGCACCAGATAATATGCGTCTCAATAATATATTTCAGAGTAGCTGCTTGTAAGTTGTTTTTACTGTATAGTTGTTGTTTTGTAATACTGAGGGGCTATTTTGTAATATGAGAAAAGTTAACAAAGGGAAAAAGTACAAATGTATCAAAAAGGTTAGAGTGATAAAACTGCATGCATAGATCGGCTTCAAAGGTGTAAACAGGTTGAGCTTATATAAAGTATTAATAAAGTATCGTATTGTAAATATTAACAGTACATTTGGTACTCGAATGTGATTGATGTTGCTGAGAAGTCCCTCGTGAATCTACTGGCAGGCTACTCAAAGTGTTTTTTTTCTTCTACTCACACAGCTAGGTGAAAGATAAATACAACTCTCATAATCACTGAAATGCACCCTTGTCATGAGTGAGCCCTCATCTGCTCAAAGGCATCTGGCCCAAGGTTATTCATCCCTTTAAAAGTCCATCCGTTACACGCTGTCAAGCTGTTTGATTCCAGTCCCGGCTGCGGCAGGGAGCAGCTCAGGTTGGCTCGCAGGTGTCTGGGTGCTCGCTCGGTTTCCGACATCAACCAGATCGCTCACCCAGTGGTCCCTCAGCTCATGAACTGCGTATAGCCCTCTGCACCCGTTACTATGACATCCATCCAGATCCTCATGGCCTCAGGGGACGGTGCCACCATATAGTAAAGCCGGTCGTGAGTTTTCACGCAGAAGGTCAAAGATGGAGTGGGGCTCTGTGAAATCAAAGAGGAGGGGGATTTTATCGAGCAAAAACTGAAAGCTGCACCTGTTGCTTTTTCCAGACGTTTTTCAGAACAACAAAAATATAAAAGTGAGTTAAAACAATTAAACCAAACTCTGGCTGTAGTCTGTTTCAAACAAAAAGTAAACTAAAAGAAAAACAACCTGAGCATGGTGAACTTTTTGTGGGAGAAGTTGAAATAATGACAGAATGACAAAAATATTGCAGTCTTATCTGAACCTTTAGATCCCCTGAAATTTTTAAAAGGCAGATATTTGTTATATCTGCCTTTTGAAAAGTAAGTTATACAGAAATGTTGCTTTATACTAAAGTTGCAGTCTCTTTTTTAAAGGCAGTATTGCTTGTTAAAATAATGTAACATAATGTAAAGTAATGTATCTAATTTAAAATCTGTACTTAAAAATGATGGCTGCGATTTTAAAAAACACGCCGTATAAAGCGTTGTTCTGGAGTTTAGCGCATCACACACAAATCCACCTTTCATGAATTTATACTTGATTATCATGCATGCAAAATATTATAGAGTAATCAATGAAATTCTGAATTGTAAGTAATGGACAAAGGAGTGTTTACCTTAGTGGCGCTGCGTAGGTGATCGTAATAAACCTCTTCAATCGCCTGAAAGTAAATGAGCCCTTTCAGCTTGGTCTCATGCTTGTCTGAGAGAGAGAAAAGGAAAATAAATATATTAAAAGACATTACATTACATCTTGTACTGATGCAAGACCTCTGCCAGCCCAAACGCCTTACGGCAGAATCAGCCAAGGATACATCGGTGATAATATGAATGGACCGATTGCGTTTATTCTCACCTGAAGACGAGGGCAGACATTCAGTGACAAAATACATTTCACATTTTAATATGTGGTCTATTTTTCATGTTTTAGCCATTCAATCCTAATATAGGAAAGACTAAATATAAATAAAATAAATAACTGGGGTGAGTGTGAGTCCCAGCAGAAACGCGGATGACTGAAGGATCAAGGAGCATAAAAGCTAAATGATATAGCAACTCATTCAAGCTAAGACTGAACTGTAAAAAAAAAAAACTACACTAGTGTGACTTTAAGACTGTCTTCACTCTAAAACGCAGAAATTAATCTGTTGGTAATTTATATTTAAGTTTAACATAGTTTCAGAATGGAGCCCGAAACTGAGAGTTTGTAGCTGTTGCTGATTTTATAAAATTACATAAAACCATAATACACCATAAATACAAAAGTATGGGAAATTCACAGTGTAGATGTACATGTTGATTCCTTGAGTCCTTGGGTTTTATGTGCATGTTTCTCCTTTTTGTTATTATGACGTTTTTGGTACATTTTTCCATCTTTCTTTTTAACAATCACTTGACTTAATAGAACTTAATTCAAAGGCTCAAAGCAATTTATTAGTAAAAGCCAGATATTTTTTAAAGTGTGGGGTTTGTTTGTTGCATTGGATCCACTTACACAGAAATGATGCCCTTTTCTCTTATCTTAGTCCTATAACTTAAATCTAGATGGAGAAATCAGGCAAAAATGAGGAAAAAGGTGTTTAATGTTTTTTTCCCAGCAACACATAATCCATGAATAGGTATGAGCAGCGCCGTATCAGAGTAAAAGTTAATTAAAAGTGGGAGTCTATTTCAAGCTATGCCTGAAGTCTTTACCATCCTATTAATTTGACTTGTTTTCTTCAGTTGTACTTTCTGGATTGTCTCTGTGTTTTCCTTTTTTTTCCCCTCCTGGCGAGGTTAAGAATTTTTATAAATCTTAAAAGGAAAGTCTCTTTTGAATACTACATTTGATCCTTCTGTTCAACATTTCCCTTGAAGCAGGTCAGACCTTCTGTCCAGTCCTTTGGATTTGTGTTCTGTACCCACAGGATGGCTTTAAGCGTTTTAAAATCACTAAGTGAAACCTGCATATGAAGCTCATCAGATACAGTTGATGGTTTTTTCTAGTTTGGGGCTAAACTATTCGCCGTTGAGTGTGAAGGAGTTCTTCAAATAAAATCTGCTAAAAGAGTTTCTGGATTCCAGTCTTGTTCAAATAAACAGTGGTCTATTTCATTCAGTCTCTTTCATGCAAACTGGAGTGCCCAACTGAGAACCAAACATCCACCAACAATTAAAAGCGGTCTTTTGAAATGCGTCCGGCACTTCTTCTTGCTTTTCCTTTTCCATAAAGTCAAATCTGCTTAGTAATGAGATAAATGTTTTTGAAATGTGAGTTTCGTTTTATTAGTCACGAACAAGCCAGGAGCTAGCCTCCTCCCCAAGAAAAACACATCCAGAGAAAGTATTGCATCTTATTTCATCACCGTCATCACCATCATCTTCGTCAGGAGTGAGGGGGTGAAAAGGCTAGGCAAGTGAGTGGGGAGAGCGAGAGGAGCAAAGAGAACGGGGGTAATGAAAACACACTCGGGTTCTATTTTGAACTTGACTGTAAAATAATGGCTCAAAAACGCTTGTGAATTATTCAGAAAACGAACTGTTCTCAATTCGAATTCAGAGGGCAGTCTGATAGACGCCAATTACAAACTGGCTTCAGTTTCAACGCACAGGAACGAGGCGAAGAACTCCGCTTAGGAGCGGCTTTAATTAGCAGTCACTTGCAGGTGAATCAACACAGAAGTGTTTGGGACACTTTTACACTCATGTGTGCTTCTCAGAGGAGCCTCTGCACTGCTGTGGGGTGAATTGGATAAATCAGGTCAGGGTCTGGTGTACAGTAAGGAGCCTTTCTACCAAATAAGGAACAGAGGGGTAGTTTGATCACTTAATGCTGAAAGTTTTTTCCGTGAATGAGGCTAGAGGCTAACTTGACACAATGTGATCCTTCTGCAGAGACATAGTCATCCTGTTAGTCCTTCATGCTGTGAAGTTTTGTTGGTGATGAAAGCACTGAGTAGTGTTTAACAGAGCTCAGCGGGAGCAAGAAGAAAGGGTGGATGAAAGTTTTTCACTTTAGTTGCTCTTGAAGTGCCATGTGAAGATACTGAAGTGGACTTTGAAAGACAAAGTGTAATTTGATTGGACAGATCCTACAAGCACGCTGTGTCTGCAATTTTAAAAGAAACTGAAAAACTGGAGTCAACAAAAATGTTTTATAAAAAACAAAGTGATGAATAATGGTGCTGTGATCCACTCAGGAGTGACTCCATGCCGTTTTCAAACCTCTAAAACATCTTTTAAAACATCCTGCCAGTTGTAAAAAGAAGCTTAAAAGTCATGAATAAACATGTTAATTGTAACAGTGCGTATCAGTGAGGACTGCCTCACATGTCTCTGTTTCTGTTTTCCATCTTATATGGACAGCAAGACAACTGGAAGACAGTATGAGTGAACAAAAGATCTACCATTGCATGACCAGAAATCATCTTTAAGGGCAGGAATTTAATCAGAAAGTATAAAGCTTAAGAGGGTATGCAGTGACTGGACTGTATCATTGTACCATTATCATGCCAGTACAGCCATTATATATTTTTTAATGGTTTCATGAGTTTGATGGCATACTGAAAGCTGTGTTTTCTATCTCTGTCAGTCACTTTTTTATGTGATGCAATGTCTTGGTGTGTCTCTTTTTATTTCTGCTCTAACGAAGAGCTTGTAAGTTTTAAAATAGTCTTTAACTATACCTCCCCTTTGTGCACTTTTTTCACTGTTTTTTTTTTTTCTCTGAGCAGTTTTTTATCTTTAAAAGTACCTCGAGGGCGCCTGCGTTCACTGCGTGTGTGAAACTGAACGAGCGCACTTGAAGAAAAGCTTCATTATAAATTGGATAGCTGAATTCACACTTAATGGAGCACTAGATCACAGGACAGAGGAGCTTCAAAAGTCCACTTTGCCAACTCTGAGCTGGAAATACCGGTGTACTTTAATGCTATAATATACTGCAACACAAAGAGATATTAGTTTTCAAACATTTCTGTGATTTTTAAAATCATATCTAGAGAGTGATGATGGTTTCGTCTGACTCTTTATCTTGAATACATGTGCTCTGTTCGCAGACCTCTCT